CGTCATCACCATCATCAACATCAGCATCACCATCAGCAGCATCATCATAATCATCATCAGCATCACCATCATCATCAGCATCGTCATCCTCATGAGCAGCAGCAGCAGCATCAGCATCAGCATCGGCATCAGCATCAACATCCTCACAATCAGCATTATCATCATCAGCAGCAGCATCATCATCAGCAGCAGCATCATCATCCTCATCATCATCATCATCATCAGCAGCATCATAATCATCAGCATCAGCAGCAGCATCAGCATCATCATCAGCATAATCATCATCACCACCACCAGCACCATCATCATCATCATCATCATCATCAGCAGCAGCAGCAGCATCAGCATCATCATCATCACCGGCAGCATCATCATAAGCAGAATCATCATCACCACCACCACCATCATCATCAGCAGCAGCATCTTCATCATCGTCATTGTCGTCATCATCATCATCATCATCATCATCATCATCATCATCATCATCATCATCATCCTCACCCTCATCATCATCATCATCATCATCCTCCTCCTCATCATCATTACCATCATCATCAGCATCATCATCATCAGCATCATCAGCATCATCATCAGCATCATCAGCAGCAGCATCAGCATCAGCATCAGCATCATCATCAGAATCGTCATCATCAGAATCATCACCACCACCATCATCATCAGCATCATCAGCATCATCAGCATCAGCATCAGCATTATCATCATCATCATCATCATCATCATCATCGTCATCAGCATCAGCAGCATCAGCAGCATCAGCATCATCATCAGCAGCATCATTATCAGCATCATCAGCAGCAGCATCAACAGCATCAGCATCATCATCAGCAGCATCATCATCAGCATCAGCATCATCATCAGCAGCATCAACATTAGCATCATCTGCAGCAGCATCAGCATCAGCATCAGCATCATTAGCATCATCAGCAGCAGCATCAGCATCAGCATCATCATCATTGTCCTCCTCATCCTCCTCCCCCTCCTCCTCCTGCACCTCCTCCTCCTCCTCCTCTTCCTCCTCCTCCTCCTTCTCCTCCTCCTCCCTCCTCCTCCTCCTCCTCCTCCTCCTCCTCCTCCCCCTCCTCTTCCCCCTCCTCCTCCTCCTCCTCCTCCGTCTCCGTCTCCGTCTCCTCCTCCTCCTCCTCATCCTCCTCCTCCTCCTCCGTCCCTCCTCCTCCTCCTTCTCTAACTCCTCATTTAATTCCTCCTCTAACTCCTCCTCCTCCGTTCTCTGCATTATAGATAGTGTCTACCTGTCGCGCCACCGTACGTCACGTTAGGGCCGGCTGGGCGTTTCGCCCGAGATTTCCCTACCGTTCGCGGTCTTAAAGCTTAAATTTGAGATATCACCAGACTTCTAGACGCATGTAGTATAATGGTTACTTTCCTCCCCCTTCCAAAACCCATCCTTCCCTTATTTGGAGAGAGGGTGATTACTGCTCCTTATCGATATACACCCCCTCCCCCACCCGACCAGCGACAAACCTGGGCCAATGTCACCCCCACCGCCGCCACCCCTGTCAAAAGACCATGCAAATGCACACTGCGGCAAAACGCACACCAGGCCCCAAAGACCTCCTCGTTCGTCGCCTCCTCTGCCTCCGTCATCTCGTCCTTCATCTCCTCAACCTTTCCTCCTCCCCCACCAAGGCCTCGACAGGAGCGGGGTGCCAGGCCATCGCAGCGCGGTCAGGAACTCTTCGCTATAGTACCCGCGCGCCCACCTGGCCTTGACCTCGTCGGCCATGACGCCGCCCGCCGCGCGCGGCAGCAGCAGCACGTCGGTGTGGCCCGCCAGCCTGAGCCCGCCCTTCAGCTGCCGCACCTGGGGGGCAAAAAAATGCTGATACCAATGCTCCACGGGCCTCGCTCGGGGTGCGGTCCGACCAGAACTGCGAGGAGAATCCGGCCGTGGCGGCGAGGGCTCGCCAGGACGAGCAGCGGTCTCGGTACCGTTGCCTCCTCTGGGCACCAAGTCGTTGATCCCGTGGAACGTGAAGTCGTACTCGGCCGGGCCCGTCGTGAAGAGATCCTCGGACCCGTTCAGGCCCAGGAAGGCGGCCGCCAGGGCGGCAACGTCTGCGCCGTGGGGCCTGCCGAGCGCCTGCCCGCAGGCGGCCGAGACCACGCCGCCGAAGTTCATGCCGTGCCGTGCCGCGGCCGCCATGCCGTTCAGCCAGCCGTGGAGGCGCGTGCCGACCCCGTGGGACTCCTCCCTCAGGAAGGTCGGCGGCTCAAAGGTGGGGCCCCCGAGGGAGCGGGCCCCGAGGGCGAAGGGCTCCGGGCAGTGTGCAGGGCGGGCGCGGCCGCCAAGAGCACTCGCAAGACACCCAGCCCTGAAACCCGCAGGCGCGAGGTGCAAGTGGGGGGAACACGGAGCACCCTGAACGCAGCAGCTCCTTCAACGGCCACGGGAAGCCACCGCGCAGCGAGCTGAGCGAAGAAACTCAAGGTACCCTGACGAAAAGCAGTCAGTTTCTTGATGCGGGCCCACACTGTAAGCTCAACCTAGAGTCCCTCCCCGTCCTCACGACGGGCAGCGTTAGGGGGGGGCCACTTCAGGGGGGGAGAGAGAGACATCGGGCTTGCATCGGCGATGCATCGCCGATAGATTGGCGATAGGCCCCCGATAGCGAAGCCGAACGTTCCCGGGCGAGTTGGGCTATCAGGCCCGTATCAGCAATGAATGAGCGATCGGGGGTCGATACATCCAGCCCTGAGCAGATCCACCCGAACGTCGCCCCTATCATCAGGGGCCCCACCACTCAGGGTCTCCACCTTTTCTAGCCGCCGAGAAGAGGCGCGCCCTCCCGGGCGGCCGCAACCAGCACGGCGCGCACCCTGCGGGCCGCCTCTTGAACAGCAAAGAACGGCACGAACATAAACTTGCGCAGGTCTGCGCGGATGTCTCGGATCTGCGCTGGTCCCCCCTCCCTGGCGCGCGGAGCGCGCCAGGGGCGGCGCCTGAGGCGCCGCGATCGGTCCAGCGCAGATCCAGACATCCGCGCGGAACTGAAAAACGATGTAGATGAAGGTTAGTATTATTATATTTCTTCTTGTGTTTGATATAGGTGGTAGCATGGTTACTACCAGCAACAACGATGATACTGAGGATAATTAAAAACAACAAATACGCGAATGCAAATGATAAGAATGGCGATGTACATGATCATATTCACACGCATGTATATATATATATATATATATATATATATATATAAACATATATATGTGTGTGATAGTAACCGAAAAACAAATGAAGAAGAATACGGCGAATAATGATGGTAGCATCAAAACTAATTGTAGTATTCGTAGTAGCCGCAGTAGTAGTAGCAGTAGTAGTAGTAGTAGCAGTAGTAATTGTAGTAGTAGTAGTAGTAGTAGTAGTAGTAGTAGTAGCAGTAACAATAATAACAAGAGTCGTAGTATTACTCTTCGGAAGAGTACTATTGGCATGACGCTTCTTATTCGTATTGTTACCGCTGGTCTTCTGATTATTCTGCTCAATCGTATTAGTAATAGGATTATAACTCTCACTGTCATTAGTACGGATTGTTATACGGTTGCCCCTTTCAAATTTTCTTTATAACAATATGAAGCTTACTCTCGCAATGATTCGTAATCCTCTTCTACTGGGTATGAAAGCACTTGCTGATATGATTACCACTACGATTACTGATAGTAGTAGTAGTAGTAGTAGTAAGAATCGTTGTCGTCGTAGTAACAGTCGTTAAAAATAGTCATCGTAGTAGTCGTACTCGTAGTCAAAGTCCGAGGAGTAATAATAGTAGCAGCAATACCAGCAGTAGTAGCAGCAGTCATATGAGTAGTAGGAATAGTCGACGTCGTAGTAGTAGAAGTAGTAGGGGTAGTGGTGGTAATAGTAGTAATAGTAAGAGAAATATTAGTAGTACTAGTAGTGGTATTAGTAGTAGTAGCAGCAGTAGTAGTAGTAGTAGTAGTAGTAGCACGAGAAGTACGAGTAGTCATAATAATGGTACAAGTAGTAGTAGTAGTAGTAGTAGTAGTAGTAGTAGTAGTAGTAGTAGTAGTAGTAGTAGTAGTAGTAGTAGTAGTAGTAGTAGTAGTAGTGGTAGTAGTAGTAGTAGTAGCAGCAGCAGTAGTAGTAGTAGTAGTAGTAATAGTAGTAATAGTAGTAGTAGTAGTAGTAGTAGTAGTAGAAGTAGTAGTAGTAGTAGTAGTAGTAGCAGCAGCAGCAGCAGCAGCAGCAGGAGTAGTAGTAGTAGTAGTAGTAGTAGTAGTAATACGAATAGTAATACTAGTAGTCGTAGTGATAGTAATCGTAGCAATAACAACAACTATAATATTATCCGAGCCTCGCCCTCTCCCGGCCCTCGCACGCCGAGACCTCACGCCTGGGCGCGCCGGTCAGGCCGTCTCCGTCGGCCGGTGCCGCCGCTGCTGCGCGGTCGGCGCTGTCTCCGCCCGCGGAGGGGCTGGCCGCTGCTGCAGGTCGCAGGACCAACGCCTGCGGCAGAGGCAGCGCGGCGGCTGTCAGAGCTGCGAGCAGGGCCGCGGGCAGGAGGCTCGCCATCGGCGCGTCACGGCGGCAGCCGTCTCACGCGCGCGGCGGCGAGGCGTTCCCAGATGCCCCTGGCCCGAGGTGCCCCAAGCTTTCCGCTCCGGTCTGGAGCCACGGGGGCCACCTTGGCCTCGTGAGGCTCACTCGCGCGGCGTGCCCCAGAGACCGTGGGGGGCCTCCTTGGAGATCCTGGGGGCACCCTGGGCCAAGGACACCCCTGGCAACGCCCGAAGGGGGGAGGGGGGCCGCGGGGACGGGGCCGCCGCACGGTCGCACGCGCCATGGATCGAAGAGCTAGTGGGCGGCAGCGGCGGCAGTGGGCGGGAGAGGCTCAAGCTGGGTTCGGGCGCGCCAGCGACGCTAGATTACGTTACGCTCGTGGAGGCTGCACAGGGCCCTGCGGAGGTCATCAGGACAGCACCCATGAGGCTCGTGGAGACTGGCCTCAATGGGCACACCGAAAGACCGAGCGCGGGGACGGGAGGGGGGAGCGAGAAGAAGGAGCAGGAGGGTGGTGGAGACGGCAAGGGCGAGAGGAACGAGGAGGAGAAGGCGGAGGAGGACGCCCACGACGGCGAGGAGGAGGACGACGAGGAGGAGAGGAGCAGGAGAACGAGGACGAGGACGAGGAGGAACAGAGGGACGCGGGCAGAGGAGGAGAGGGAGGGGAGGCGGAGGAGGTGGACAAGGAAAGGAGGCAATGCTTTTCTGGTGGTGCTGCCCAGTCGGCTCCCAACGCGACCTTGGTCTGGAGGTCTCTCGAGGGGCCACGGGGCATGTGCTTTTCCATGCTACTACATCCCCCTAGTCATCCCTCTTCCCCCCCCCCTGCATCCTCATCCCCCTGATCCTTCTTCCCCGTGTCCTCGTCCTCGTCGTCCTCCACCTCATCCTCATCCTCCTCCTCTTCCTCCACCTCCTCCTCCTCCTCCTCCTCCTCCTCCTCCTCCTCCTCCTCATCATCATCATCATCATCATCATCATCATCATCATAATCAGAATCATCCTCGTCGTCTTAAGCAACAACATAAATATTAAAGTATTCAATATGATGATTCGCGTCATCAGAATCGTCATCATCATCAACAGCAGCAACAGCAGCATCGTGATCATCATCGTCGTCGTCCTCATCGTCGTCATCATCACCACCGCCATCACCATCGCCATCACCATCACCATCACCATGATCATCGTCATCATCATCCCCAGTGTCATCAGAACTTCCACCGCCATCATCATCATTACCATCTGCATCATCATCAGCATAATCATCATCATCACCATGATCATCATCATCATCATCATCATCACCACCATCATCATCATCATCATCATCATCATCATCATCATCATCAATACCTACATCATTACCATCATCATCACCATCAAGGTCATCAGCACAACCATCATCATACTCATCGTCATCAGCATCATCATCACCATCACCATCATCATCATCATCATCATCATCAGCATTATCAGATTCATCATCTTCATCTTCTTCATCGTCATCATCATCACCACCATCACGGACACGACCACCATCATCATCAGCATCATCATCTCCATCACCATCATCATCGTCGTCGTCCTCATCGTCATTATCATCACCACCACCATCGCCCTCATCATCGCCATCACAATCATCATCATCATCATCAGCATCCTCGCTATCATCAGAAATATCACCACCACCATCATCATCTATATCATCTGCATAAGTATCATCATCATCATCATCATCAAGATCAGCATCCTCATCGTTATCATCATCACCATCACGATCACCGTAACCATCACCATCGCCATCATCATCATCATCATCAGCATCGTCATCATTATGGTCCTCGTCGTCCTCATCGTTATCATCAATGTCATCACCACCACCATCACCATCACCATCGCCATTACCCTCATCCTCGCCAGAATTATCACCATCCTCTTCCTCACTATCACCAGGATGCTCACAACCACCACCATCATCATCATCATCGTCGATCATCATCATCATCATCATCATCATCATCATCATCATCATCATCATCATCGTCGATCATCATCATCATCATCAGAATCAGCATCATCGTCATCGTCATCAGCATCATCATCATCCCCACCATCTCCATCACCAGCACCATCACCAACATCGTCGTCATCGGCATCATCTTCATCATCATCATCATCATCACCATCACCATTACAATCATCATGGTCATCATCATCACCATCATCGTCGTCGTCCTCATCATCATCACCACCACCACGACCATCGCCATCGCCATCAGCCTCATTACCATCATGTTTATCACCACAACCATCACCATTGTCATTCGCATCATTACCACCATCATAAACATCACTCTCATCGTCATGAGCATCATCATCATCATCATCATCATCATCATCATCATCACCATTACCATCACCATCATCATCAGCAGCATCATGATCATGATCATCATCATCAGCAGCAGCATCATCAGCATCATTGAAAACCTCATCATGCTGATCATCATCATCACCAAGATCCTCATCATCATTGGCATCATCTTCATCATCATCATAATCGTCGTCGTAGTTCCTATCGCCATCATCATCACCAGAACCATCACCACGACCATCATCATCACCATCATCCTCATCATCATCACCGTCCTGATTATCAACAAACTGTTCATAACCACCATCATCATCACCATCATTATCAGAATCATCATCCTCATCGTCATCTGCATCATCATCATACTCACCATCACAATCACCATCACCATCACCATCATCACGAGCATCATCAGCACCTTCATCATCATCATCATCATCATCATCACCATCACCATCACCATCACCATCATCATCAGCAGCATCATCATCATCTTCAGCATCGTCGTCGTCCTCATCGTCATCATCGTCGTCACTCCACCATCACCATCCCCATCGCCATCACCATCATCCTGGTCGTCATCATCAGTATCATCAGAAGTTCCACAACCGTCATTACCGGTATCACCTGCATCACCATCATCATTAGAATTATCATCCTCATCGTCATCAGCATCATTATCAGCCTCATCATCACCACCATCATCATCATTATCATCACAATCACCATCACCATCTCCATCATCATCATCATCATCAGCATCATCATCTTCGTCTCTTCGTCATCATCATCACCATCATCGTCGTCGTCCTCATCATCATCATGTTCATCATCATCATCAGCATCACCACCACAATCGTCGCCCTCCACCTCCACCTCCACCTACTCCCTTATCCTCCTTTCCCCTGCGACATTCGCCGGCCCCACAGGCCAAAGGCGTACCAGAGTCGCCGGGGGGCCAAAAGCGTGCTAAAATCATCGGTAAGATGTTCGGACGCGCGCGCGTGCGTGGCGATCGCTCGAATCTGTGGTAAGACGCTCGTAAGATTTTTATTTACTGCTTGGCGCGCGCGCGTGGCGGTCACTCGGGGTCCCAGGACGAAAATACCCTGGCAAAGTCCTGGCAAGGTCCCAGGAAACCCCTGACCTGAATCAGGGACGGATTTACTCCTGGGCGAGGCCCTCAGGCCTCACCACAGTCCAAGGATCTTCTCAAGAGACCCCCAAGAGAGCCCAAGGGCGGCCCAGGAGGGCGGATCAATGAGTAGCACGCTTCAAGACGCCCATGAAGGACCTGAGATAGCTCCGAGGTGGCCGAAGATAGTTCTAGACAACCCCCCAAAAAACCTCCAGGAGGCCACAATCATTCACATACCTTATGTTTTTCAATGATTTGGGCGTCTCGCCGTTTCGCTTCCCGTTAGATTCTTTAGGCCTCAAGATGGCTTCAGTATCGCCCGAGCGTTCTCCGAGTAGCGCCTAGAAGGGCTCCAAGAAGGACGTGAAGACCACCGTTAGAGCCCGAATGGAGGCCCAAGACAGCTCCAAGAAGGCCGAAAGGCGAACCAAGAGCGGGCATCAAAGGGTTGCAGTCCCAAAGATGGTCCCTAAACAAACCCAAGAAAGCCCCCAAGACATCCCCAAGAGGCCCCGACATTGCCCCGAGGCGGCCCAAGATGGTCCAAGACAGCCCCTACAGAGGCCTCCAAGACACTAAAAGCCCTGCGAAGAACCTGTGGTATTTCTGTGATTTTGGATTTCTCGTCTCTCCAAATCATATGACCCTCAGAGCGCCCCAAGATGACCCCAACATGGCCCCAAGGGACCTCCAAGAGGGGGCACTACCGCCAACCGGCAGCCACTCTCACTCGCAAGCCGCTCGCCGAACAGCGCGCAGACGCACGCCAGCCCTTCCGCCTGACTCACAATGAAGGCTTTCTCCAATCACAGCAGCGTATTTGGCGACCTGCCCCACCCATTCGGTCCTCTGGCGCCCGATCTTTTCACACCTAAGCTCTCTGTGGCCAACGTCAGGGTTCCTCGAACCTGCACCCACCAACCTGCAGGTAAATGCAAACAGTGAGGCAACACGGGCTGGAGAGCGAGGCGATTCAATCACCACTGTCTCGTCGCGCCACCAAATGTGTCAATGAGGCAGTCCGGGTGATTCGTCTGAGCGTCCCCACAGCGTACTACTCTGAAATTTGAAACCTGGCCACTTGCCCTCCTCCTCCTCCTCTCCATCCTCCTCTTCCTCCCACCCATCATCATCATCATCATCATCTTCATCTTCACCATCACCATCACCATCATCATCACCATCACCATCACCATCATCATCACCATCATCATCATCATCATCATCATCATCATCATCATCATCATCATCATCATCATCATCATCATCATCATCATCATCATCCTCATCCTCATCCTCATCCTCATCCTCATCATCATCATCATCATCATCATCATCACTCTGACCCTCCGCTGCACCATCCCTCCAGGAGCAGCCCATGCGAGGGAAGAGGAGGAGGAGGAGGAGGAGGAGGAGGAGTGGAACGATGACGCGGACGAGGGAGATGGATAGGAGGAGGGACGAGGAGGGAGGAGGGAGGAGAAGCAGGCGCAGGATGAGAGGGGGAAGACGGACGAAAGCAGGGATGAACAGGCGTCTGACCTGGGAGCGGCAACGAAGGCTGCTGCAGCAGCGGGAAATGGCGAAAGTATGATATCCTGGCTCTTCAGGTCCTGATCACTCGTGATCAGCACTGGTGCCATGAACACCTGGGCAAGAGGATGGCAGAATCCTGCTACTGCTCCTCCTCCTCCTGCTGTCACTCCTCCTCCCTCTCTTCCTCCTCCTCCTCCTCCTCCTCCGTTTCCTCCTCCTCCTCCTCCTCATCATCCTCCTCATCACCAACTCATCCTCCTCCTCATCACCAAATCATCCTCCTCATCCGTATCACCATCCATCATCAGCATCATCACCACCACCATCATCACCACCATCATCAGCATCATCATCAGCATCATCATCATCTTCATCATCATAAGTAGCATCAGCATCATGATCATCATCACCATCATCATGGTCATCATCATCATCAGCACCATCATCAGCAGCAGAATCATCATCATCGTCCTCATCATCCTCATCATCATTATCATCACGGACAGCATCATCATCATCAGCAGCAGCAGCAGCGACAGCATCATTATCTTCATCATCATCAGCATCAGCATCAGCATCATCATCATCAGCATCAACATCAGCATCGTCATTATCGTCGGCATCATCAGCAGCAGCAGCAGTTCCATCATCATTATCATCATCACCACAATCAGCATCATCAGCATCATCATCATCATTAGCATCATCACCATTATCATCGTCATTGTAATCGTCATCGGCATCGTCATCGTCACCATCATCACCACCATCATCATCATCAGCATCACCATCATCATCAATAGCAAAATCATCATCATCGTTATCATCATCGTCGTCATCATCACCAACATATTCATCATCATCAGCATCATCGCCATCACTATAGATATCAGCATCAGCATCGCCATCAGCATCACCATCATTAGCATCAGCATCATCATCATCATCAGCATCATCATCATCGTCATCATCAGCATCGTCGTCGTCGCCGCCATCATAATCATGACCACCATGATCAGCATCATCATCATCGTCGTCATCACCATCAGCAGCATCAGCATCATCAGAATCATCATCATCCTCACAATTGTCGGCAGCAGAATCATCACCACCAGCATCCTAAAAATCATCAGCATCATCAGCATCATCAGCATCAGCACCATCATCATCATCATCATCATCATCATCATCATGACCGTCGGCATCAGCATTAGCATCATCACAGTCATCATCGCCATCGGCAGCAGCATCATCTGAATGATCATCAGCATAAGCATCATCGTCATCGTTATCATTATCATCATCAGCACCATCGTCATCCGCAGTATCATCAGAAGCTTCATCACACAAGCATTGTCACAATCGTCATCATCATCACAAGCAGCATCACCATCATGATTATTATCGTCACCATCATCATCCGTCATCATCATCGTCATCATATTCAACATCATCAGCATCATTACCATCATCAACTTCATCTCCATCTCCATCGTCGTCTTCATTGTCAGACTCATCATTTTCATCATCGCCAGTAGTATCATATTCGGAATCGCCATTATCATGAGATGTGTCATCATCACAATTGTGCTGGCCACCATCAGCAGCAGCATCGTCGTCACCATCACCATCATCTCCATTGTCAGTATCAGCATAATTGTCTTCATTATCATGAATCATCACCAGTTAATCATCATCAGCATCATCATTGTCATCACCATTAATCATCATCATAATCATCATCATCATCATAATCATCATCATCATAATCAGCATCAGCATCATCAGAATCATCATCGTCATCATAATCGTCGTCGTTGCTGTCATCGTCAGCATAGTCGGCAGTATGATGGTCGTCGTCGTCGTCATCGTTATCGTCGTGATCATCTTCGTCACCGCCGCTGGTGTCTACCCCTCTTCTTCCTTTTGCGCCTCATCCTGAGAGAGGGCGTAGGCGCGCGCGCCGGAATGCCGCTGGTGCCTACGGCAGCGCAGTCACAAGGCTGCTCGCAATTCCGAACTTCTAGAGGCCACGCAAGCAGAGGCCCAGGCGGGTGAGGGAGCCGCAGGCCGCGACTCGGAGTCAACCAGCCCAGCTCTGGACGGACCGACGCTCCTCCGCTTCCGCGCAGCGGCCATCTTCTGCCGCCAGCCCGCGCGGCCCGCTATGGCCGGACTCGCTCGGCGAGCTGCCATCCGACCCGGCCGGCTCCACAGGTCGAACGAGCTCCGCACGTCGCCCCTGCTGAGCCATCGCCTGCGGCAGCGCCACCTTCGCCGCGGTCGCGGCACAGCGCCGCACCAGCCCGTCGTGCCGTGCCCTCTGCCTGTCGGCCTGGGAGTGGGCGGGGAGGGCCCCGGCACACACGGCCGCTACCTGGCGAACCGCGGCCTCCAGGGCCTCGTCGGCCGCCTGGTGCTGCTCCTCGGAGACCTCGGGATCCCGCGGGGCCTGCCGCAGCCGCTCCAGCTGCTCCAGCGCCAGCGGCCAGTCCCTGCTGCGGCAGCAGGCCCTCAGCACCGCGCCGTGCGGGAGCTCCTCGCCCTCGGGGGTGCTGAGAGCCCCACCTCTGAAGGAGGAGGACCTGCACAAACACATGAGCTTTCGGGACTTCCGAGGGGACCTCTTGGATACGCGCTGGGCCCCGCTCCCTGGCGCGGCGGGGCCCCTGGACCTCCGAAAGCTTGTGTTCATGCCGATCTTTCTTCCTCGGCCGCCGCAGGAAGCTCCAAGGAGCTGAAGCGCCTGCTGCCACCGCCGCCCCTTCAGAGCGGCGCGCGCGGCTGGCGCCAGAGACTGCGCGCTCACCCGCACGCCGCAGGCCCGCATCTGCGCCAGCAGCCTGAGCGCCTGGCTCCACTCTGGGCAGGCGCGCAGCGTGGAGTTAAAGGCGGCGGCGTCTGGCATGACGGCCCCCTCCCACATCTCGTCCAGCAATTCCAGTGCCAGCGCCCACATCCCGCCAGCCGCCGCCGCGGCGACGCCAGCGTTGAGCGCGCTTGCATCGGACATGCCCTGCTGAAGCTCTGATAAAGTGCTGAGCGCGTGCTCCCAGTGGCCAGCAGCTGTGCAGGTGCGCATCACCGCGCCGCCTCGCCCTGGCTGCGACAACGCCGCCACACCGCGGTCGCCAGCCTCCCCCAGCAGCGTCAACGCTGCACTCCAATGGCCGGCGGCCAGGCAGGCATCAGCAGCGAGGCCGTACGTGGCGACACCCGCAGCTCGCCCAGACTTCTCGCAGCCGCGCAAGACCTCGAGGGCACTCCTCCATTGCTGGCCCTGCTTGCAGGCGCTCAACGCAGCCTTGTAGGTGACCGGGCTCAGAACGGGACTCCTGCTCTTCATCTTCTCGAAGAGGTCCAGGGCCTCCCTCCACCGCTGCGGTGCCCCGCTCCTGCTGACCAGGGCCCCGAACGTGGAGGCGGGGACGCTCACCGCCTCGAGCCCGGGCACGTGCCCTGCGGCACGTGCCCTGCGGCCCCAGCTGCGTGTGCCGTCGGCGCCTTCGGCGCTGGCACAGCTCTTCGCTGCCGCCGGGCTCCACGAGGCGGGCCGCAGGCCAGGCTGAGGCGCCAGCGCCCGAGACGGCCGCCACGGCGGCCGCGCACCTCGGGGCGCGGCCTCGCCATCGCACCGCTCCACCTCCCACTGCGCAGCGCCCACGACGCCCTCGAGCCCAGCGGGGCCCCGCGCCGCCTTGAGCGGCAAGGGCAGCCGCGGCTCCGCCGGCGCGCGGGCGCCCAGCGAGGGCGGCGCCGCCGCCTCCTCGCCCGGCGGCGCCCCCGAGGCGGCCGGCGCGGGCAGCAGCGGCCGCAGCTTGGCGCTGGCGCGCAGCGCCTCGGCGGCTGCGGACCGCCGCCGCCACGCGGCCAGGGACGCGGCGCGCGGCGGCTCGGCGCCCGCGCCGCCCGGCGCGGCTCCGGCGCTGGACGACGGCCTCCGCGCGGCTCCGCCACCGGCGCCGCGGCCTCGCGCGCCGCAGGACGCCGGCCGGCGCGCCGCGCGCGCGGGCGCGCGGGCGGGCCCCGCCACGGCGGCGGGCGGCGGGGGCGCCGCACGCGCCGCCGCGGCGGCGGGGCTGCGAGAAGCGCCGCACACCTCGACGAGGGGGTCGACTACAAAGTTCACGCACCCCAGAATCAAGTGCCTCGTCGCGTGCACAACAAATGCGTACATAATGCTCGTAGGTCTACCAGCACGATACGCACTTCTCGGGGCGTCGCGAACGAATCAATTCTCGGGTGAATCCACTCTGTGGTCGATCCCCTAGTCGAACACCTGCAAGGGCGGATCTTCTGCTGCAGGGCGGCTCATCGGAGCCCGAGCCGCCCGGCTTGGCCCCGCGCCCCTGGGCCAAAATGGCTGCTGGCAGCCTCCGTGCTGCCGTGCGGGGCGCCAAACAAGGAGCGGCGGAGCTCTTCCGGCCCGCTTCTGCTGACCAGGTCCACGAGCCGCCTGCGCTCCTGACGGAAGGTTGTGCCAGAATCGGAAGCTCGGGCGGGGAGCCCTACGGCATTCACCGTCCCCCCCCGCCACGGGGCGCCCCCCAGCCCGCCCCCCTGCCCCCAGGCGCCCGCCGGAGTGCGGTGGCGGCGTCGCGCAGCAGATCATCCACGCATCGTGAAAAGCTCAACGTGTGCAGCGACGGAGAGCGGCTCCTTCCCAATATCGTGCTCTCTCTCTCGCTCTCTCTCTCTCTCTCTCTTTCTCTTTCTCGTTCTCTCCCTCTTTCTCTCTCTCTCTCTCTCTCTCTCTCGTTCTCTCGTTTTCTGTGTTGTTCTCTCTCTCTCTCTCTCTCTATGTCGATGTACATCGATGACTATATATAGAGAGAGAGAGAGAGAAACAGACAGACAGTGATTCAGAGCCGCGCACGCGCCTCTCAGCGCTGCCACCAGCTGCGTGGATGAGGGCGACTCCCTCTTGGACTCACTGCACTTCGTGAAGTTACGCGGTCGGAAACTGGTGTGATCGCTGATGCCTGCCTCGCCAAACATCGAGCTGACATCATACGGCCCTCGTGCTACTTCAAGGGGCGCTGGAGAAGGAACGAGTGGGCCTGTCTGACCACGGCGAGCCTCGGCCGAGAAGAGCAACGTGGACCTCACTCCAGGGCGCGGCCCGAAAGCCAGCGCCTTGGCCGCACACGCCCGTGCACCCCACGCCCTGCCAGAGGGCGCTCGCCCCGGTGCAGAGAGCTGGCTGCACGGAACCGCGAGGGGGTGGGATCTGCGCCCCTGGAGGGCGTGCCGCAGCTCTGCGGGACCCCGCTCCTCTGGACCCTGGCGCGTGGCCCGCCGCGGTGCCGAGGCCCCTTGAGGGCCGCCGTCCTTCGAGTATGGGATCGACTGCAGAATTGATGTACCCCAAACCCAGTTCTCTCTGCGAGTCACACGTAGGATGTTCGTAGATCTACGAGCACTCTACGGATCCCTCATGGGCTCGGAGAGCAAACCGATTCTGGGGTACATCAATTCTGTAGTAGATCCCCCACTCGAATCCCGCAAGGCCAAGCGAGGTGGTCAACGAACGAAAGTCCCTTCATAACTGGGGCAATCGAATCGAATCGAATCGAGCTCTGGGGGCATCAGACTCGTCCTACGGGAGGAAGGGAAGGATGGTTGGCGGCGCGCAGAACGGGGCAGGGTCAGAGTGGCTAAAGGGACCAGGGACACGCGAATGAATTCACACAACTCGCAGGATGTCCCATGGTTTCCTACATGTTCTGGGTGCTCGTTTTTCCCCGCCGCTTCCCACGTGTCCCCACATGTTCCTGGAAACCGACGATTCAGTGTGTCTCTGCGTGTGCTCTTTCCCCTCCTGAGTGGCAGCCTTCGAGAGAGCAGCATGCCCCCCGAAGACGGTGCTCCGCGCGCGGCCTGCTTTTGGGGGGCAGCCGATCCGCTCTTCGAGCAGGGGATCGACTACGTAGCTGATGTACCCCAGGCTTGGTCTTCTCGTCGAACCTACGACACGTACGTGGAATGATCTACGAGCACCCTACGCACTTGTCATACACTCGGCGCGACAGTCAATCTTGGGGCAAATCAACTCTGCAGTCGATCCCCTTCTCGAGCTCTCGGAAGGCCCCATCGCTGCCGTCTCAAGCGGCCGTCCCTCCCCCCCCTCTCACGCAGGGTGGGACGCACGGAAACATACCAAGTACTATATCTCATCCTCGGAGACGCGCGCCCGCTCCGAACAGACATGGCATACCCAGCGTGCGGTATATGCCGCCACGCCGCCCAGACTGGAAGACGCTTCTCGGTGCGCGCGTCGCCCCTGGGAGGGGAGACGCACACGTACTCCGGATGGGACCTGAATCGCCCCCCCTTGAATCCGCTTGGGGGGGGGCACGTGCTGTCGGCACGGGTGGAGGGGGGTTGGAGGACGAGGAGGAGGATGAGGAGGGGGAGCGGGAGGAGGACGGAGGGGGCAGGACTGGACAAGCTCAGTCGGGAGGTGAACCACCCCCCCCTTGATCAATACCCCATCCAGAATAGGATTCGTATGCTGGGCGGACGCCAAAAGTGGCCTCAGGTCCCGAGAGCCCGAGCGCCCCGAGATTCGCCGCACGAGTCTCCCCCCCGGGGGCGCCCAGGCAGCGCCAACGGCGATGCTGGTTCACGGCGATGTTGGGACTCGGATTTCTGCGACGCCGAACCCGCGCAGAACAAGTCGAAAGTGTAGGAACTTGTTGCGTCGGCGGCTAGGCAGAGTAACTGCGCTGGCAGAAGAGCTAACTAAACGGGGGCACTGCTGCAGCGAGTTGTGCCACAGTGCAAGACAGAAGGAAAAAGGGCGAGAGGGCGGCCGGAGGAGGGGGGACAGTTTGTAGGAACACACGAGCAGCTCTTTTCTGCAATCGGGCTGGCTAGGAACCACCCCCACATGCCATACCGAAACCCACATGGCCGTTACCTCCATCGCCATTATAGCGTGTCTACGGGGGCGGCCACCTGGAGAGGGGAACGAGGATCAGTGATCTGCCACCCCCTGAGCCCTGGACGGCTGTGGAAGGGGCAGAAGATGGAGGAAGAGGACGAGCCAGGCGGGGCAGAGCAGCACGCGCTGGCACACCTCTGCTCGCGGCCGGGGTGCCCCCGGAGCCCGACGGGGGTGCAAGACCTCCGGGACGCTGACGCTGACGCTGACGCTGACGCTGACGCTGACGCTGTCGATGACGATGACGATGACGATGACGATGACGATGACGATGACGATGACGATGACGATGACGATGACGTCATCGTCATCGTCATCGTCATCGTCGTCGTCTCCTTGGGACCCGCTTCCTTCAGGCACCGAGGACGGCGAACAAAAAACGTCGGGGCCCGCCTCCTCGGGGCCCGCTCCCTTCGGGGCCCGAAGAAAATGAAGAGCCTTCAGGCCCCGCTCCCTCCAGGGCCCAAGGGACGGCACAGTGGGGACGCGCAGCAAGGAACTACCTGCCTCTCGTCAGGGTACCCTGGGCTTCTTCGCGCCGCGCGCTGCGCGGTGCTTTCCCGCGGCCGTCAAGGAAGCTGGTGCGTTCAGGGGGTCTCCGGGTTTCCCCCCCAGGCGCACCCTGGGCGCGACACTTCAGGGCCGGGTTTCTCGAGGACCCGAAGACTCCCATCCGCCGATGTGATGCTTTCGGTGCGCGGCCCCAAAGGTCCCGACCCCCCTTCTCGGGCCCAGTTTTTTGCCCAAGCTCCACGCTTCATGGTCACCGCAGACCGAGATCAAGGAGAAACGCTGGGATCAGACAAAGCATGATGGACCCACGACTCATGACAGGGATTTAGAGCTGCGAGGCCTGGGAGCGTTCCAAGCACCTCAGCTGGGCGATGGACAATGGCAATGTTGAAGATTTCCATGGTGATGCTACCGTGCCATGGAGCTGTATTGTGCTTATCTGCGCTGTGCCGAGCCACGCAATGACATGCCAGGGGACGCGCCGTGGAACGTGCCAGTGGACGTGCCAGTGGACGTGCCAGGAGACGTGCCGTGCGATGTGCCAGGGAGACGCGCCACGGGACGCGCCACGGCACGTGCCAGAGGGACGCGCCACGGAACGTGCCAGTGGACATGCCAGGGAACGTGCCAGGGGACGCGCCGCGCGACGTAGGGGCGGCGCCAGGGAACGTGCCAGGGAATGCGCCCGAGGACCACGATCCCTCGTAAATTACAAGGGCTTCGCGCTCACAGTGCCAAGACCCCTCGCAAATTACGCTGGAATCGCGTTCTCAGGGCCAAGATCCTTGGTACATTACACAGGGTTCACATTCCCAGGGCCACGATCCCTTGTAAATGACGCGGGTTTCGCGCCCCCAATGCCAAGATCCCTCTGGAATTGCACTGGAATCGCGCTCCCAGGGTGAAGATCCCTTGCAAATCACCCCAGATTGCACGCTCCCGAAGAGCCTTAGTAACTTACGCTCCGTCCACGCTCCCAGTGCCAAGATCCGACGTCAATTACGCGGCCTCCACACTCCCGGGGCCACGACCCCTCGTAAAACGACGCCGCGTCCGCGGCCCCAGGGCCAGGATCCTCTCGCAGAATACAGTGTGTCCGCGCTCCCAGGGCCAGGACCCCTCGTAAATTGGAAGAGGAGGAGGAGGAGGAGGAGGAGGAGGAGGAGGAGATTCGTGCCATTTTGGCTCAAGTCGGGGAAAGGCCCGTTTCTGAGTGCCGCATCTCTTCTTGGAGGGCGTTCTGGGGTCAAGCCCATGCGGACACTTTCTGCTCTTCCCCATCCGCGGCGTTTCACAACCGCTCTCGGTAAAGAACAATGCTTCCGCACTCCCAAAACCACCTGGGCAGCCTGGGGCGACCAGGCCCTCCAGGCTACGCAAACACACACGTTTCGTTCGAGACGTCCTCAGATATTCGGCGCGCAGTGCGCGGCATCCTCGAGCGGGCACGCAAAAAAATGTCTCGCTTGTCTGACAAAGTTCAAAGCCTCCAGGCCCAGTGTATTATTCG